CGAGCCCCGCATCGGGCTCCCTGCTAGGCGGGAAGCCTGCTTCTCCCTCTCCCACTTTCCCTGCTTGTGTTCCTTCTCTCGCTGTGTCTCTCTCTGTCAAATAAATAAATAAAATCTTTAAAAAAAAAAAAAAAGAATTCCTCATATCAGTGAGGTCATACGATACACGTCTTTCTCTGATTGACTCATTTCACTCAGCATAACACCCTCCAGTTCCATCCACGTCGTTGCAAATGGCAAGATCTCATTCCTTTTGAGGGCTGCATAATATTCCATTGTGTATATATACCACCTCTTCTTTATCCATTCATCTGTCGATGGACATCTTGGCTCTTTCCACAGTTTGGCTATTGTGGACATTACTGCTATAAACATTGGGGTGCACGTACCCCTTCGGATCCCTACATTTGTATCTTTGGGGTAAATACCCAGTAGTGCAATTGCTGGATTGTATGGTAGCTCTATTTTCAACTGTTTGAGGAACCTCCATACTGTTTTCCAGAGTGGTTGCACCAGCTTGCATTCCCACCAACAGTGTAGGAGGGTTCCCCTTTCTCCACATCCCCGCCAACATCTGTCGTTCCCTGACTTGTTAATTTTAGCCATTCTGACGGGTGTGAGGTGGTATCTCATTGAGGTTTTGATTTGGATTTCCCTGATGCCGAGTGATGTTGAGCACTTTTTCATGTGCCTGTTGGCCATTTGGATGTCTTCTTTGGAGAAATGTCTGTTCATGTCTTCTGCCCATTTCTTGATTGGATTATTTGTTCACTGGGTGTTGAGTTTGATAAGTTCTTTATAGATTTTGGATACTAGCCCTTTATCTGATATGTCGTTTGCAAATATTTTCTCCCATTCTGTTGGTTGTCTTTTGGTTTTGTGGACTGTTTCTTTTGCTGTGCAAAAGCTTTTTATCTTGATGAAATCCCAATAGTTCATTTTTGCCCTGGCTTCCCGTGCCTTTGGCGATGTTTCTAGGAAGAAGTTGCTGCGGCTAAGGTCGAAAAGGTTGCTACCTGTGTTCTTTAGGATTTGGATGGACTCCTGTCTCACGTTTAGGTCTTTCAACCGAAATATTCTGATTATTTATACAACTGTAATTCATTGTCTTTCTGTCTTTTTTTTTTTTAAGATTTTATTTATTTATTCGACAGAGAGAGACACAGCGAGAGCAGGAACATAAGCAGGGGGAGTGGGAGAGGGAGAAGCAGGCTCCCCGCTGAGCAAGGAGCCCGATGCAGGGCTCAATCCCAGGACCCTGGGATCATGACCTGAGCCGAAGGCAGACTCTTAACGACTGAGCCACCCAGGCACCCCTTGTTTTTTTTCTTTAAGTAGGCTCCACACCCAGCATGGAGCCCAACGTAGGGCTCAATCTCACGACACTGAGATCAAGACCAGAGCTGAAATCCCGAATTGGATGTTTAAGCAACTGAGCCACCCAGGCACGCCCAGAACTGTAATTTCTTAAATCCTGAGATGTGCAGTCTGCTTCATCTGGTCCATTGGTTCTCACACTTTAGAAAGCATGGGCGTCACGTGAAGGGCTTCTTATACTATAGATTGCCCTTTCTCTCCACCTCCTCACCCCATTTTTGATACTGTAGGTCTGGGGTACAGCCCAAGAATTTGCAGTTCTGATGAAGGTCCCACTTGATGCTGATGCTACTGGTCAGATGACCACAGGTTTTGAACCACTGATCTTACCCTTTCTTGGAACTTGGAGTAGAATATATATGTGCAGAAGGGAGAGGAGAGATAGGTAAATCTGGACAGATGTCCTATAAGCCTGGTGTTTTCCAAATCCTCCTGGGACACTGTCTATTCCTTTTTCCCTTCATTTCATGCTCCCATAGAGACAATACCATTCAGTCTTTTTTTTTTTTTTTTAAGATTTATGCATTTGAGAGAGAGCATGTGCTCACATGCACAGTGAAGGAGGGGCAAACAAGCAGACCCCGCAGGGAGCCCGTCCTGGGTTTGATCTCAGGACCTGGGGATCCATGACCTGAGCTGAAGTAAAACCATTCAGTCTATATAGACTGATGCAAGGAAAGAAATTAGTTGTTGGGTGTGATTTTTGTTCCTTTTTATCTCTAGAGTTGTAAAGTCATGTGAATGATGTATGGCAGGTTTATATTTTTTAACAGTTTAATTACTGTGTATATTCAAGTGAGCAAAGTGCCGTATGAGGTGAGATGTGTAGCATTTAATAAATATACGTTGAATATACAAGATAAAGAGATTAGCATTTCTAATATATAAATGATTGTCCTTTTGTGAATTTGAGTTGGGCAGAGTCTAGTAGATTGGGTGTTGAGTGAGTCTATCTTGTACATAAAAAAATTTTTTTCCAAAGATCTTAAGATATATGTTGTGTGCTATATAACGCTGAAAAGTCTCCCAGATCTCTATTTTTGATACTTTAGTTTTCTTTCTAGACATTGTTATTTATGTCATCAACCCTTGATTATTCAGCTTTTTAAATGGGTTATAATTCCCCCAAGTGTTCTTTTCTGTAAGTGTACCCGGAGAGGAGTGATCATGGTGTAGCATCTTAGAAACTGTATCATTTGAGAAGAACTTAAACTTGTTTAGGAGGAAATACGATGGCTTCATTTTGAAAGACTGCCTTGTAGAAGAAGGATATGTTGGGGCGCCTGGGTGGCTCAGATGGTTAAGCGTCTGCCTTCGGCTCAGGTCATGATCCCAGGGTCCTGGGATCGAGCCCAGCATCGGGCTCCCTGCTTGGTGGGGAGTCTGCTTCTCCCTCTCCCTCTACTGCTCCCCCTGCTTGTACTCTCTCACTCTCTCTCTCAAATAAATAAATAAAATCTTTAAAAAAAAAAAAAGAAGGAGGATATGTTTTTTTAATAGCTTCCACTAATGGGTAGAAATTACAGGGAAGCAGATTATTCTTTGATGTCATATAATTTCCTGAAACATGTCACTGTCAGTCAACAGCTTTTATTATAAGATTTTCTGTTGCAGTGAAACTTGATAGTCCAACTTTCCATCACTAAGTCCTTTTGCTTCTTCAAAAATCCTTCTTTCTCCTGTTTATTTTCTTTTTTAATTTTCACCAGCCCTGTAATCTTACAGAGACCTGCGTCATCTTTTACTTGAACTATAATTTCAATGTAGTCTTAGCTTATGTCCTTACTACCAATCCAGAGTTTAATTTCTTTAGGTTTCTCTTCTCTACAGGATTATTTCAAATTTCTAGCCTGATATACAAGTTTCTTTCATGACCAAGCCCCACTCTCCACATAACAGTTCAATTTATTTTTTTTAAGATTTTATTTATTAGAGAGAGAGACAGCGAGAGAGGGAACACAAACTGGGGGAGTGGGAGAGGGAGAAGCAGGCTTCCTGCTGAGCAGGGAGCCCAATGCAGGACTCGATCCCAGGACCCCTGGATCATGACCTGAGCCGAAGGCAGATGCTTAACGACTGAGCCACCCAGGCGCCCCAGTTCAATTTATTATTAAGTTCCTACCATGTATCGGGCTCTGTGCTCAGTCCTGGAAATATGTTGGCAAATATGAAAGCCCTGGTCCCTGCCCTCACAGAGCTTTCCGTTTAGCTGGAGGGTAGGTTGTTATAGTTATTAAAAAGTATGTTTTGTAATTACCCTTTGAATGTCTGAGATTGAGGTGGAAGTACATTCTGTCTGTTACTTTCCTATCCCTTCTCTTGCATTACTTTTTCTTCTTTGAATCATGAAATGCTAAGGCCTTCATGTATGACTCCATGCTTTTAAACATCTTATCTCCCCCCTTTTTTCCTAGTTAATTAACTTCTGGCCTTCCTTTAAGACTTAGTTTAGAGGGCGCCTGGGTGGCTCAGTTGGTTAAGCAACTGCCTTGGGCTCAGGTCATCATCCTGGAGTCCCTGGATCGAGTCCCGCATTGGGCTCCCTGCTCTGCAGGGAGTCTGCTTCTCCCTCTGACCCTCCACCATCTCATGTGCTCTCTCTCATTCTCTCTCTCTCAAATAAATAAATAAAATCTTAAAAAAAAAGACTCAGTTTAGATGTCAAGGCATGAGCAGAATTAGTTATTTCTTCCCTTGCTCTCATATACCTCTTGTCCTTTATCTCTAATAATTAATAAAGTATTTACTTATTTGTGTTTATTATAGAGCAAGAGCTCCTGAAACACAGAGATAACATCTCCTTTTCTCTGTATCTCATTGCCTGTGAGAGAGTCTGATTTGAGGGTGTTCAGTGTTCATTGCATGAAGTCAAGAAGCATCTCTGTAATACGTAATAGCAGGGACTGAGCATCTTTCCCTCAGCTTCAGTGACGTGTGTTTGCTGTTATTACTCTGCTTTTTATTGAGTATAGGTATTTGGTTTTTTATGTAGATTACTACACAAACTTACAGTCTTGATGTCCTTTATGGAAGAAATGGTGACTCTGTTTAAAAGTACCTATTGTGGGTTTCTTGATTAATTTGTTAAATGATCATTTGTGTGCCTCAAGAATGCATGTAGTGGTGGTTATTAAGCATTACCAGTTTTCTGCATGTTATGTAAAACTCAGAATGTTCCCTGTCCTAGGATGGTTTCTGAGCACCTCCTTGAACAAGTAAATGTGACTTAGATTTGGAGAATCACCTTATCCTAATGGCATTTTTAAATGGCCACTGTGCAGTGATGTGATTTTAAGCAAGTAAATCTTTTGCAATTCCGTTTCCTTACGAGAAAATGAAGATTAAGGATAGTATGAAGATTCAGTACATTCGTACATGAAAAACACTTAAAGCAATACCTGCCACATAATGTCATCCTTCTGATTGCTGTTAATTTTTTCTAAAGACAGGGAACAAATTAAATGTCTCAAAGATGTTTTTCAGCCTAAAGAGTCCCTAAATATATGACTTCAGCTTATAATATCCACTATACTTATTCACCTCTCTCTTTAGAGGATTGCCTCTAAACTTTGAGTTGAACATAATAAAATGTTAAGTAACATTAAATGATTTTGTTTTTGCAGATGTTCTCAAATAGTGATGAAGCTGTAATCAATAAAAAACTTCCCAAAGAACTCCTATTACGGTAAGTCTGAATGCTAATTTTAGCTTGGTGTTGTGTGTGTGTGTGTGTGTGTGTGTGTGTGTGTGTGTGTGTGTGTGTGTATCATATTTGCCTATTTAAAATTTTTAGACTTATTGCTAATTTTTGTCTATGTATAGGAACTGGATTATCTGAATTTGTAAATTTATTGATTCTTTTGTCATACAGTCTTGACTCTGCACTTTCTAGATATGAATCAAAATTTTAAATGTTTAATTTAAAAACAATTTTCTCCTACCTGATTTGTACCTATATTTGATTTTGTTTACTAGTTTTCCCTTGCTCTATGCTTCTATATAATGTGAAAGAGATAATATATTTTATTTTATTATAATGCTGATTTTCTTGAAGTGATTCTAATCCAGCCCTTTGCCCCACTTCCCATTCCCAATATCAGATATGTCCATGAAGTGACTTGTATTTGTGACAAAATATCACATATACTGAGGCGCTGTAGAGAAGAGTTACAGCCCTTTACTTTAAGGGTAAAAAGGTAGCAGGGGCATGACTGGCTCAGGTGGTGGAGCATGAGACTCTTGATGTCAGGGTTGTAAGTCCAAACCCCATGTTGGGTGTATTTAAAAATAAAATCTTAAAAAAAAAAAAAAAGATAACAAGGTAAAAGTTATTTGAAGTTCTTTCTTGTATTACAGTTACAATTTTATCCTCCTTATTTTTAATAGGTAAAAATTACATTTGGATCACCCACAACATAAAACTCACAGCCCCCAATTTATATACATCTGACCTAGGTATTGCCTAGGAAAAAAAAAACTAGGGGAGTTATTTCACAGCCCATTTATTTGGGCACTTTTTTTTAAAGATTTTATTTATTTGAGAGAGAGTGAGTGAACGAGAGAGACAGAGAGAGGGCACAAGTGAGGGGAGAGGCAGAGGGACAAGCACACTCCCCACTGAGCACAGAGCCCGACGTGTGGCTCAGTCCCAGGGCCCCGCGAACATGACTTGGGTCAAAGTCAGATGCTTAACTGAGCCACCCAGGCGCCCCTCTTTGGGTACTTACTCATGCTATTGTTTGTTCACTGATGTAGAATACCATGATTGAGAAAGAAAGGTACGTTCTCTTTTGCAAATGTTAGAAGTTAACAAATTGTACTGAGGTACATCTGCCTCTTGCTCTTAGCTGCTCCTGCCCCAGCCCAGAACCAGCCCAATCCCCGTTCAAGGTGCAAAATAATCTCACACTAGCACTGGTGAAGAAGAATATTCTGGCATTTCAGAGGATTTGCACATCTGAGTCCTTCACTATATTGGAAGTACCTTGCAAGCAGGGACTGTTTTCTTATAAATATTTATGTAATATCTTATACATTGGAGATACTAAGAAAAAAATAATGGAATTAAACTTGGAATGGATTTTTTTCATGGAACCAATGCTTTTGTACATGCTGGTTGACTATAGTTGAAATAATAGCAATATACCTTAGGCTACCCAAGGCTATTGGAGAATGTTTCCTGGATATATTGAGTATCCCTCAAATGTCAGCAAAATTTTAGCTATCTTAAGGAGAAATGTTTTTAAATGGGTCATGTTTTTTAGTGTTATTATAAACCAAGTACACTAAGACATACTTCAATTTTTTTTTATAATGACATTAATTTGTACTATAGTAGTTTACCTAAAGACTCAATAAGATTCAGGGAAATTATTTGATTCTTTGGTAATTAGCTGCCCCCTGTTATGGTTTACATTTTTATATTTTATTAGAGTTTTTCTCCATGAAAGACAGACATAAAGGCCACATACTGTATAATTCCATTTATATGAAATATGCAGGATATAGACAGATCCATGGAGATAGGGTTGCCAGGGGCTGTGGTGAGGGGTGATAGGGAGTGACTACTAATGGGTATAGGGTTTCTTTTGGGAGTGATGAAATGTTCTGAAATTAGATAGTGATTATGGCTGCACAACATTGTGGTTATACTAAAAACCACTGAATTGTGTACTTTTTAAAGTACTTTTTTACCCTTTTAAGGGTAAATTTCATGGAATGTTAATTCACTCTAATATATGTATAATTTGTATAAATTTTCAATTTATAATTTATAATACATTTTTAATAATACAGTTGTAATAAAATATGCAATTGTATAATAAGTGTTCATGATATAATTTAAAGTAAAAAATGCAGGGACACCTGGGTGGCTCAGTGGGTTAAGCATCAGGTCATGATCTCAGGGTCCTGGGATTGAGCCCCATGTCGGGCTCTGTGCTCAGTGAGGAGTCTGCTTGTCCCTCTGCCTCTCCCCCAACTCATGCTCTCTCTCTCTCAAAGAAATAAAATCTTTGAAAAAATTCAGCCCATATGATAAACAAATGCAGTCTATTGCTCTATTTTATGTTGTATATGTTCACTAATTCTTCAACCATATCCTATTCTTGGTGATTTATTGTAACAAAGGTTTTGTAGATATTTTCTTTGATGCTAGTGTTTCTTCCTTTAAATGCAGTCCCAAAGACAGCATGAAGGGTAGACTAATAGGTGACTTCTTAAGTGGATGATTTGTAGTCTTCTATCTGTTAAGAGTGACCCTACTTGAGGCATTTCTTCATAGCCATTAGGTTACTAGTGATTACCTCTGATAAAATGGTATTGAAGAAGCAGGTAATTCACTCTATACTTGTTTATTTAACAAAAACGTTTTTTGCTGAAGACAAGAATAGCAAATAGAAAGTTATTACAGTAATCTTTACTGGGGGAAATGATGGCCTGAACCCCATTGGAGGGATGGGCCCTATCAGATTTTTAAGAGCTGGGACTGGCAGTATATTGCTGATTGATTTGATGTGATGCTAATGAGGGTATTGGGAAGAAGGCAAGGATGGTGCCCCAGTTTTTTGCTTTCTGCCAAGTGAATGGTGGGAACACTCACTAAGATAAAATAGGTGGAAGAACAGGGTTAATTGAAAGAAAATAATGAAAATGAGTTCAGTTCTGGTACCTGTGGATATCCAGGTGGCAATGCCAAAAGGCAGATGTATATACAATTCTCAAGCTTAGCAGCATGATTTAAAATTCATATGTATATAAAGACATGAAAGAGTAAGAAATTGTGTATATTTAGCTCTTTTTGGATTTACTAGTACCCATGGGAAATAAAGAAAACAGGAAGAAATACAAGGCCTCTCAGACACAGAAATGAAGAGCTTCAGGGCCAAAACATCATATAGAGTGGCAACATTTGGGTCAGGTTTCCAACCAGGCTCAGTGAGACACGTGGTGTCATCACCTGGTGATTGATTTAGTAAGAACTCTAGAAAAGAGCTATGTATGGCAGATGTTGAGGTTTGGCTGAATGTCCAGATTAATTGTACTCTTATACATTCACTCTTGGCTTAAATGTTCTATATTAAGGTAGTTGAAGTCTTATGAGTTAGCAATATTTCATGCATATCTTAATCTAATATATATGTAAATCAGTATGTCAGCTGTAAACTCTGGAACCCATTTTATTGATACTCATTTATTTGTCTCCAGAGTACTTGAGATGACTTGGATCAGGAGCAAGTATAATAAATACAAACTATGAGGACCATGACAAATATTTTTTTTTAAAGTAGGAAACCAAAACCAGAAAGGAAGCACATGTACTCTTGTAAGAGTTTACACAGTTGCTATAGATGGGTATCACATTTAGCTTTAAATTTTCTTGATAGCATAAATGAAATAATATTCTTTTTTATTTTTAAGATTTTATTTATATATTTGACAGAGACAGCAAGAGAGGGAACACAAGCAGGGGGAGTGGGAGAGGGAGAAGCAGGCTTCCCACCGAGCAGGGAGCCCGATGTGGGGCTTGGACCTGAGCCAAAGGCAGACACTTAACGACTGAGCCACCCAGGTGCCCCAGAGAAAATAATATTATTTTTTTTTAAGATTTTATTTATTTATTTGACAGAGAGACACAGCGAGAGAGGGAACACAAGAATGGGGAGTAGGAGAAGGAGAAGCAGGCTTCCTGCAGAGCAGGAAGACTGACACGGGGCTTGATCCCAGGACCCTGGGATCCATGACCTGAGCCAAAGTCAGATGCCCAATGACTGAGCCACCCAGGCGCCCCTAAAATAATATTCTTAACAGAAAAGAAGAAATATATATATTATACCATAAAATCAGAGCTCTTTCTAGAAAGCACTGCTTTCTAAGAGAAATTTCTCAAATGAGAGTCTACTTAACATTTTGTGGATAAAGTTCCATAGCAAATTCAGTCACAGATTTCATATGGTCACATCTTGTAGAACCTTTGTAGTAGTTAAAAAACAAAATAATAACATGTAAAAATAAATGGATGCTTCTGACAGTCCAGTTGATCCAACTGGATCTATCCAACTGATTCTATTACTAGCAAGTAATAGAAACTCTGAAATGGGCTTACACAGTAAGGGAAGTTATTTCATATAAAAGGAAACACAAAGATCAGGCTGCCTACATCCCAAGGTTCATTTGATTTATGGGATCCCCAATGTCATCAGCAATTTTCTGTCTGTTCTGCTAGAAGCTGTATCAGCTTGGTCCTAAAAACTGTTCTTTATGGGCACAGGATGGATCCCAGCAAATATTGGATCAACATGTATCTTTGTTCACTCTGAGGGGAGAGATAGGCAACCATTTATACTCCTATAAAGCCTCTTCTCAGATCTCATTAGCCCAAATTGGCTTAGGCCTGAACCAATCACTGTGACAGGTTTAGACTAATTAACTGGGCTGAAGTGGATGTTGGAGAGTCAGTTACAGTGCCTACCACAGATAGAATATAACATACTTAAAGGAATCATGAATGTTCTTCAAACAATCTTCTATAAATCTCACTTATCTTAGCTGGAATTTTCATAAGATTAGGGTAGCACAAGGATTATATTTCTTATGAGGTCCTGGAGTCAAAATATCCTTAGTTGTGGATTGATGATTGATTCCTGTACTTCAAACCAGGTGAACAAGTAGATTTGTCATCCTTTG